CAGTCCTTTCTTCTATCCATAAAAACTCCAGATAAGTCTTCTATCAGCGTTGCCATTTCTGCAAGCTCTGTTACTTTTATAATCCAACCCTCTGGGTACTCCATTATTCTTCCATCACCCATCTTCACTTTTTAGGAACACCCCAGCGGGAGCTCCCATATGGGTACTCTTTGACTTAACAACCATTCATTTAGTGGCCATTTGAAGTTACAACAGCACTAAAAAGGTGACATAACTCAGCGATCCACAACTTTTCCAGCTTGGTGGCCTGGCAGGGAAGGGGGGATAATTCTGTTTGAGTAGCAGATGGAAGCGTGCTTGGCTCCATTTGTGTGAGCAGTGCTTCAGGTGCGAGTGCAAGTGTCCACCACTTAAGCAAATGGAGCTTCACGCATGCACACTCGCTCTCTTGTGCTGCCCGTTTTCCTAACGGGTTATGGCTCGTGGATTGGGGAGCCCTGTTATAACACATTATATGTAGGTAGGTGTGTGTGTGTGTGTGTGTGTAGAAAAAGCAGAAGCCGCAGAGATCCTGGGAAGATCCCAAAAAAAGTCTGCAGGAAAAAACCCCACCCCCTTTTTCCTACTGATCAGTCATTCTTTACCATCTCCAGCTCCGTTCTCAGGGAGAGAGAAAGAGAGAGAGACTTTTGGCTTCATGCAAGGAAAGCAGCAGAAGCAGCAGAAGTCTTTCTTTCTCTCCCCCAAACTCCGCCAGAAATGAGTCTTTGCTGGTGCAGCCTCTTGGAGCAGGATGCCTTCCAGGGTCCCAAAGACTCCATGAAAACAATATGAACATATCCAAAGGGGAAACTTCCCTCTCTTACTTTATCTTACACAACTAGATTTTTTTCCCCTTTTGCTAATCTTATTTCCATAAACTGGGGTAGGTAACAGTTTATGGATTAATTTATTGTGGAATTAGTTTTAAAAAGTGTATTGCTGTTGCCCTGGTTATACGTTGAAGAACTCATTTTTTTCTTATTTTCAAATGTCCATCTTGGTGACAGAATTCTGTTGGCAGAAGTGTGCTTTAAAAAAGAAAACCTGTGGGTTGGGTGATTCAGAACAATCTACATTGTTTCAGATTTTAGAGTTGTGAAGTGATGTGATATTTTCACTTCAGCAAACATCAGACATTCGGTTAACCAATGAATAAACGTATGTTTATGAAATCACTCTGCAAGAGACTGTGGCTTGTCCTATTACTTTGGTTTTAGATTCTCTTCTGGAGTCCAAACATAACTGTCTTGGAATCAGCAAAACTGTCCCAAAGATGCTTTTCCAAAGGCAACTGGATTTTGTTTTTCCTTGAAGATATTTTGCTTCTCATCCAAGAAGCTTTTTCAGTTTGTAACTGGACTTTTTTTTTCCCTGGAGACATTTCGCTTCTCATCCAAGAAGCTTCTTCAGTTCTGACTTCAGAACTGAAGAAGCTTCTTCAATGAAAAGTGAAATGTCTTCAAGGAAAAACAAAGTCCAGTTGCCTTTTGTAAAAGCATCTTTGGGACAACCATGACCTGGATGACTAAGAATCTCCATAGACAATCAGGAAAAATAAATCAAATTTTGCCCTGCATCCAATGAGTTCAATATCTAACATCCCTCCTTTGGTTTCCACAGACAAGCAGTATCAACTGCTAACTGTGTGAATGTGGAGAAGAACAATTCATTTCACATGTTATGGTGCACACCACATCCTTCAACATGTACAGAGGAAGACCTCATACTGGTGAGAAAAATTTGCTGTTGATGTGATCCAATACTGGGGAAATGTCATTTAGCTTTAATCCTACTTATTTTACATACCCTTTACGAGCTATGTTTTTGTGACCTATTTTATGTCTTTTTATTTGCTCAGTGTTGAATGTTATATGTCTATCACTTGAAGGTCCTTCTGACATGAATAAACAAAGGTCAACTATCAAACATCCGTACATCATCAGTAAACAGTAAACACTACAGGGCTAAAACAAATATACATAGACCTAGAGATCTCTGCATTTGCACTCTGAACCTCAGTAGTAAATGTACTGACCATGCGGTATCATTTGGCCTTGGGCACAAAAAGTAGAGTTGATGGCACCGCTCCAGAATGGGGGAAAGGGACGGAGAAAAGAACTGTGAATACCAGCCCAAACTTTGTGATTAGACTAAATATGAAACATCAAACCATCTACCAATAAAGCTGCAGTTTATATGAAAATCCACTAGATCATTGGTGGCAAACCTTTTTTTTGCATAGAATGTATTATGGAAGCATAAATGTTATCATTAGCACTCACAAACTCACAGTCTTTCTGGGATTTGATGATTTGGGTGTTTATATAACCTAATTTCCTGGGCTCCAAGATCACCACAGATGGGGGATACAGCCAATAAATTAAAAGATGCTTGCTCCTGGGGAGGAAAGCTATGGCAAATCTAGACAGCATACTAAAAAGCAGAGACATCACCCTGCCAACGAAAGTGCGTATAGTCAAGACTAGGTTTTCCTAGTTGCAATGTATGGCTGTGAAAGTTGGACCATAAGAAAGGCTGAGCGCCAAAGAATTGAGGCCTTTGAACTCTGGTGCTGGAGGAGGAGAATCCTGCGAGTCCCTTGGACTGCAAGGCCATCAAACTGGTCAGTCCTAGAGGAGATCAACCCTGACTGCTCTTTAGAAGGCCAGATCCTGAAGATGAAACTCAAATACTTTGGCCCCCTAATGAGAAGGAAGGACTCACTGGAGAAGAGCCTAATGCTGGGAACGATTGAGGGCAAAAGAAGAAGGGGACGACAGAGAATGAGGTGGCTGGATGGAGTCACTGAAGCAGTAGGCGTGAGCTTAAATGGACTCCAGAGGATGGTAGAGGACAGGAAGGCCTGGAAGAACGTTGTCCATGGGTTGGACACAACTTCGCAACTAACAACAACATAGTCTAATCCAGCAAGATGACTGGAGATTTCAGGAAACTTAAGTCCACTCATCTTAAAATAGCTAAGGTTGAGAAACACTTGTCTAAACCTAGAGGAATGGCCTACTGTCTGAAGAGGACTCCCCTAATGGCAAACATCCTTGCATTTACATGAGGAAAAGGTGGAGGAACTTGAATAGCAATCCTTTGGTTTCTCACCTCAGCTTCCATATCTGCCACATCCACTACATCTATTCTTGCAATGCCTTGGATTATAGTTAAATCACATTCTTCTACATGTGTTTTCTTCATTTGACAAATAGGCAACCTTGAATGATCTTTCTCCTAATGTCTTGCTCTGTGTTAGCAAACTTACACAAGGACACCCATTGGTATCTGGCCACCAAAAATAAAATGAATCAGAATCAGAACAGAGCTGGAAGGGACCTTGGAGGTCTTCTAGTCCAACCCCTGCTCAAGCAGGAGATCCTATGCCATTCATGTTCTCTTGGCTCTTTTGTGTTGCTCAAACTCCATGTCCTGAAACCCCCAGTAATAATGGTCAGAGGTAGTGTTGTTTGGTTGTCATCTAGGTTGTGCTCTGGGTTGGGCAAAGTTGATGCATATAAAGCTCCTTTTCTTTTGCAAAATGACAACTTAGGATCTGTTTCTTTGAAGGCTTCTCTTCTCCCCTCACTCTATTTTCCAACTTTCCACCTATCATTCCCCATGATGCTTCTGGCAGAAGAAACAAAATTTTGAATTGGAAATTCAGGAAAAAAAAAATGAAATTTGGTACATAATACCTGGACACTGCAGTCAAGCTAAGGTGTGCTGCAGAAATGCTTCTCCTCAGGGTCCATATAGACAGACACATTCAAATGCAATTTAGCCCCTGCAGAAAACTCAGTTCATCCTTTCCCCTAACTCTCCAATGCGCCTTGAAAGCCTTAAATATGCCTGCACAAAAACCAGTTCTTGTTTACCAAGAGATTGGCTGTCAAGGGAAGAGAGCTGTTGCCAATGTTATTTTGAGTCCAAGAATACTTAGAAGATTAATTATCGAATGATTTAAAAAAAAATGTTTACTAAACCAGAGAATTCAGCCTGAAGGTAAGTAAGATGCACCCATGACATGATTGCTCAATACTTCAGCTCCTTCCTAACCCACCCTGCCTCCTCCTTTCAATTTGGAATCCAAAGAAAATTGCCTTGAATTTAGAAACAGCAAGGTATGAACTAAACCCTGGCCTGGATCCTAGTGACCAATAGCTGTTGTTAAAGTCCAGAAAATGAGAATCAGAATAGAGCTGGAAGGGACCTTGGAGGTCTTCTAGTCCAGCCCACTACTCTCAAGCAGGAGATCCTATATCATTGCAGAGGAGTGATTCTCCAAGTCTCTTCTTAAAAAACCTCCAGGGATAAAGCACCCACAACTTCTGCAGGCAAGCTGTTCCAATGGTTAATTGTCCTTCACCTTGGGAAGTTTCTCCTCAATTCCAGGTTGCTTCCCTCCAGTGCATGAACAACTATCATTTTTAACATTTCAGACAGATGAGGCCAGAGAGAAATTAAACTAAATTTCCTACTCCTTATACAAAAATGCAGTTTTTTTGTTTGCAAACTCTGGAAAGTCCATTTACTAAAAAAGACAAAAAGAAGCTTCCAAAAATGCATTTATTCAAGCGTGCTTAGAAAACTTAGAGCCATCTTTCAACTTTTGGTGCCAGCTCTCTTCTCTTCACAGCCAATCTCTTGGTAAACCACAACTGGATTTTGTGCAAGGCATATTTAAGGCGTTCAAGGCGCAATGGAGGGTTAGGGGAAAAGGAGCAGTGGTCATCCCAGAAACCTGTTGTTTGTCTATAATCAATGGCAATTGTTTGTCCGCAATCAATTGGCTGTAATCACAGCTGCATTTTGCCCTCTCAGATAACCAGAAATGCAATCATGAGCCTGGCCACTCCCAAACCTTCCCAGAAAACGGGAGGATTTCAAACAGTAGGAAAGGCGCACAAGACCCAAAGGCCGGCTGAATCACGAAGAGCAGCCGAAGAGGAAAAACAGGTTGCCCCGAGCAGGAAAGGGGCGGGGCAGAGAGTTTTTTAAAGGCCTGCCAAGCTCCTCTTGGCGTCCAAGATTTGGGGAGCTCTTTCGCCATGGCTGCTTGGCTTCTCCTCCTCCTCATCGCGGGCAGCCTCTGGGCGAGCGGCTGCGGGGAAAGGAACGGGCCGACGTGCGGTTATCCGCCGGCGCTTTGGTGCAGTTCCAAAGAGATCGCCCAAGCCTGCCAGGTAAGCCAGAGGGTTGCACGCCGGCGATTACCCGTTTGCGTGAGGCACGGGGCGGCTTCGAACTGTGGGTGCTTTTGCAACCTCCGGCTTGCAAGAAGGCTGCTTGTTTTTTGTTTTGGTTTCTTTTTCCTCTGTTAGTGGGGACTTTGATTTTTCAGCAGGCTT